AAGCTGCAAAGCCCCAACGAAGATCCTAGTAGTTTCACTATCATTTATACCCTAGGAATTGAGTTTCATGGAAAAGCATTTTGTGACTTAGGATCTAGTGGTAATGTCATGCCCCTAAATATTTTTAAGTAACTTGGGAAGAAGAAAACTTAAGCTTACCAATCTGATGCTTCAACTAGTAGATCAATCAATGGCTCATCCTCCAAGAGTAGTTGAAAGCTTGACTATCACAGTGGAAAGATTCACCTTTCTTTTTAATTTTGTGATATTGGACATGAAAGCTGATAAGTAAATGCATGTGAATTTTGGAAGACCTTTCTTATCCACTGATAAGGCTAGTATTGATCTTCAGCATGGGAAGGTAATTTTGAGTGAGAATGATCAAGAATCACATTTGATGTTTTAAAATCACCAGACCTTCCCCATGTCTCTTGGAATGATCCTAACTAGAAAACAAAAGTAGTTGCATGAGTAGTACACAGCCCATCAATTATATCAACTAAATTGATCCTTGAAGAGCAAATGATAATAGAAGAATATATGTACTTAAACACATTCACAGATGAAGTTTTACCTATGGATTTAAACACATTCAAATAAACATACTTTTCTAGGATTTTGGAAAGAACATAAACACATATGCATAAAATCTTCAATAAGGCTACATAAATAACTTAAACGGGATATTTTTTTTCTTGAAAGAATTTTTTATGCTAAATGAAAGGGAACATAAGGACATGATTCTTATGTGTTTACGCTTTGTTATGACTATGTCTGAATAACATACATATGTGAATAATTCTTGAATTACCAAGTGCATAAATTAAATTAAATATAGAACAACTAAATGATTAATCAAGACAAAATAAGGGGTTGTAAGGGGTTGATATTTGACCAAGACAAGAAAGAGGAGAGGTTGAGTTAGGTTTAGGGTGTTGGTCATGAGATGTAAAGGAGGTGTTGGCTTGTTTTTAGAAAAGGAACGAAGAAGAAGGAGGGGAGAGAGAGAGAGAGAGAGAGAGAGAGAGAGAGAGAGAGAGAGAGAGAGAGAGAGAGAGAGATGAATGTGGGTATTTTGGTCAGGGATGGAAGAGGGAGAGAGAGGGACATGGTTGTGAGTATATTGACCAATGAAGGAAGAGGGAGAGCGGGAGAGATGGTATGGGTGTCTAGACCATGGAATAAATAGAGAGTGGGAGGGCAGTTTCACATCACACTATTCATTAAAAAGACATTCAAAATCTTGCTTGCAAAGTAAGTGAAAATGAGAAAAACCAATTGAGGAGGAAGAAGAAGGTGAAGGAGGAGAGGGGGAAATTTCAAACAAGATGAGAAGTGTGGGGGGAATGGTTGAGCATGTCTATTTATAATTAATGAAGCCTCCCGAATTCTCAAAAAGGGAGGGAAATATGTTTTGAACAAATGAGAGAGGGAGTAGGAAAGAAAGAGGGGGAGATTTAAAATGGATGATTGAGTTTGTTATTGGTGGTTAGGGACAAAAAATCAACCTTAGCTCATTTGGATCAGAGAAATTAAGGAAACACCATGGTGAAGTCAATTTTGGTTAAGGTGGCCCTATCTCAATATATTTTAATTCAAATATCAAATAAGATAGTTAAGTCAGTTATGAGTGTGTTTTTGGGTGGTTATGTGCAAAAATATGATCTTGGCTCATTTGGCTTAGAAAATTAAAGAGAATACACTAGTGAAGTCACTTTTGGTAAAGATGAGCCCTATATTAAAGAATTTGAAATCAAAGTGTGAGTTCCACCTCAAGAGAGAAATTTTTGTTGATCTTTTTATGAAAACTTTTTATTTTTTTAATTTATTAGATTTAATTTTCTTAGCTCAATTTTACTTTAGTTTAAGTTTAGTAATGCTTTGAGTTCAATTTGTTGTGCTATCATGATTGTTATTATGATTATTGTCTGAATTATCATAATATCGATAGACCCACAAACAAGGTTTGATTGGACGTGAAAGGAGTCATGTAAAAGGTTTTGATGTTCTGAACGCACTCATGTAGGCAATTTTTGAAAATAGCACTCTGATGGAAAATTTTTTACTTGGGTGTAATTTTCATGCATGAAAACGTGAAGCAACATGTTCTAAGTAAAAAATGTGTCTGAACGTCGTCAAACTTATTTGCATATTTTCATATGTGATAACAAATGTCATACAATTTTTAGAGTGAAGTTTTAAGTAGTACGATGATTTATGGAGATTATGATAATTTTGGGGTGCTTTTGAAATAAGTTGATTTTTAGTTCAATTTTAAGGTTTTGTTGATATTGGTTAGATTTGATTATATTTTAGTTTGTTTAATTTCAAATTTTATTTAGAAAAATTTCAGCTTTAGGTTTGAATTGGAGTTGACTTGTTTTTTAGTTTAAGTGGAGTTCAGGACCTAAATTATCCAAGTTTAGTTCAATCATGTAATGACATTATAAAATGATTTTAGGTTCATATGAGATTGGATAACCAAGGGGAAGGGTTGACCAAAAGTGAGGTCAACAAAGATCTTTTACATTATATCCTTCTTTATAAATTATGGTTTATTTTAAGAAAGATTTTAAAAATTTTCAATTGATTATTTAAATTAAATCATAAATAAATCTCTTGGTTGATGATAATATCTCTTAATTTAATCCCTCTTGGGTCCAACTTCCCTTTCATGCTTTTCCTATTTAAAATCCTCATGCTTATTTCTCATTGGCCTAATTAATTAGTGTTTGGATTGATGATGTGGCAAAATAAATCTAATGCTCCATATTAAATCATGCTTGGCCGCCCTTCTCATTGTTTAATCTTTATTTACTTTATTTCTAAACCCCAAAAACATTCTAAAAATTCTTTTCCTCCAATTCTCTCATGCTTAGCTGAAGTTTTCATTACAAATATGTGTGTATGGTATGATTAATCAGGCTTGCTCTAAAAAACCATACAAAAACTCTATCAATTTGTTGTCCCAATTGCTAAATATCTTCTCTCACTTGCTTGGTCGAAATTCAATGGCACTTCTCTTGCTCTAAGCATCTACAAGGAGCACCCTCTGCTCTATTTTAATCAATCCTCTTAAATGGCTAATTTATTTGGGGAGATCTTATGAATTCGTGAGCTTGTGTTAAATATTTTAATCAAACTTAGTTTGTTTCTTCTTATGACATTCATGAGCTTACTTTGATTTCATTATATAAATTATATTTTAAGTTCATCATATCACTTGAATTAAATACATTAAAAATGCAATTATTTACTTTGTCTTCATATCAAATAAACTAAAACAAAAAATGTGAGCAATTATTTTTATTGTTATTGCATTTTGTCTGACCCGAGCATTTTTTTTTTATATCTTCTCATGTGAGGGTAAAATCTTGTAATCATATTTTGTTTTTATTTGGTTATTGTAAGATTGTATGAGGTCGTGCTCATGTGTTGTGAGTATTGTATCCAGCCTTCGTGGGGAGGATACAATTATTGTGACATTGACTATTTTAGTTGAATCCTATGTAATAGGCTGATTTATGAGTTATTGGTCGACCACGCAACCATAGTTTGTGTTTTACTTTTTGCAATTTCTCTTAGTAATTAATTATCCTTTTAATGTGCAAGTCACATCAATAACATTTCTACAAAATAAGAATAACTTTTAAATTACATTTTGCTCTAAAATTCTCCAAGACAAGTGTTTTATCATTTTTCTACTAAAATAAAATATAACACCAAAATCAACCCTCTCCCCTCTTGGTGCAATAAACTACTATAAATTGGTACATTATATCATCATTATTAAATATATTTTTATTTATTATGATTTTTCTTTTTGCTCTTTTCTAGAGCTTATATATAAACACATGTATCAATATATTACACTATATCTAACTTATAACAATATTCACACTTTATTAAGGAATATATCATCATTATTAAATATATTTTTATTTATTATAATTTTTCTTTTTTACTATTTTCTAGTGCTTATATATAAACACATGTATCAATATATTATTCAATCAATATATTACATTTTAATTTTAACTTATAACAATATTCACACTTTATTAAGGATTGCTTTTCTACTAATTTTCTATATTTTCTTATGAATCATATACTTCAATCACAATGTTTATTTTCTATGCCTCATAAAAAAAGATAGGAGAAATTTGTTCATTGTTTATTTTTGTAGAAAAAAATGCTTAAAATTCATTTCAAATGAAGTAGTCCCTCTTGTACTTATGGACCACTTATTAAAGCTCATCACAATAAAATTACTCCAAACATGAGCTTTGAATAAAGTTCAAACAAGATTCGAGTAAGGGTTCTAACAAAATTTGAGCAAGATTTGAGCTTAATTCAAAGTAAGGTTGGAATATGATTTATGCATGAACTAAGCATGATTTGAGATGTTTCGACTATGATTTCAATACATTTCAAGCAATATTCAAGAAAAGGTCAAGTTCACACATAGCTTGGACATGATTTGAGGAATACTTGAACAAAGTTCAAACAAAGTTTGTAGACATTTGAACATGATTCAAACTAGTAATAAGATAATATAATGAAACATTTTGGATTTGCTCTTTGCTTACCATCAATAGACTCATACAATCATCCCACTTCATCATAAAATTTTTGTCATTATAAGCCATATATAAATTCAAATTGATTCTTTTAATTGACTGGATCAAATTAATATTTAACAATAATTTTAATCTTCACAAACTTGTAGGAGGGCGTGAGCAAAAATTAGACTTTAAATATCAATAATTAAACTTGCTTTTAACAATAGAATTTAAGTATATAGACTAATACCAACCATTTAGCTATTGTTATATCAACCATTTAGCTATTCAATATATTCAACCACTGCACAAACAGCTTCAACATCCTTCAAAATATGATGGTTTTAGTTCTACACTAAAAAAAAATAAAAAAAAATCATTTAAATCAACAAAATAAAAATTTTTGCATGATGTATAATTTGAAGTGTATTAAATACATAGATGAAACCAGAGCACCAGGACACTCCATAAATATTTGAATCCACAATCAGCACTACTATTCTAGGGTTACCAGCCTTTAAAAACTTGCACAAAGATGCTGTAAATAGCACTGCAGAACAAGAGAAACATAACAGGAATGTAAGAAAGCAAGAGAAAAGAGGAATGAGAGACTTCTTAAGGTTTATTTTGCTGATAACCACAAATAAAAAAAAAAGAAGAAAAAAAAGCAGAACCTTATAATCAATTCAGAAAACAAATCCAAATAAATAGTTTGATTCTTTGACTAAGGCTGAGCCATTTTCTTAACAGTGGAGGCCATGTACTTCCCTTGGTGTTCAGCAAGAGCAAGTTCCACCTCACTGGCTACCCTAGTACCATCACCTGCATATACTCCAGCACCATATGGGGAGCCTCCTCTGATCTCTTCCATCTTGAACATATTGGAACCAAACGTGTAACCTATAGGAACAAATAGCATGCCATGGTGGGCCAGCTGTGTGATTGCAGTCCAACTGCAAGTAATTGAGAAAAAAATATTATTTATATTGTTTAAATATTTAGCATATATAAGAGAGCAGAAAAGAGGAACTCTTAATGTCACCACATTGACAGCTTGGACCACCTAAAACTATAAATTTGAAAGCCTAAGGTGGTGTTTTAAATATTTAGCATATATAAGAGAGCAGAAAAAAGGAACTCTTAATGTCACCACATTGACAGCTTGGACCACCTAAAACTATAAATTTGAAAGCCTAAGGTGGTGTTTAGCTGCAACCTAAATTTAGGTCAAGTAATTTATCTAATTCAGTAAATCCCATAAATTCGGATTTATCAAATCCAGTGTATGACATAGATAGAGCTTACGAGTGACGGAATAAATTTGCCTTGCAATCAAATTTAGTAAATTCGGATTTACAGAGTGTTGGATTAATTTTTAGTTTTTTAGTGTTTGGTTGGATTTAAGTTAAAGCCATGACTAAATCCTATTAATAGTATTCTACCAAACACCACAAAAATGTATAATAAAGACGAAAAATGAAGAAAAAATGGGAGCAGCCAAAGAATGAGCAATATCATATATCATAAAGGCAAATCACATAAGGCAAATCACATATATATATATATATATTCAAAATTCCTTGTAGTTTATCTTCAACAAGATGAATCAAATTATTCAATAAGAACATGGTCTGGTATTCTGGATCGTAGCTGGCAGCTTGGCCAAATTAGTTAACTTCATGATATGGGAGGGTTAAACGGAAATTATTATCAGTCAAGTGTACATTCTCATAGTTCCAACAACAACAACAAAGCCTTAACTTCATGACATGGGGTCGGCTACATGAATCCTTTTTCTCCATAGCGTCCTATTTAGTGTCATATTTTCATTTAGTTAGATCATTGTTTATACAATAAGCCCAAGTCTTCCTAGGTCTACCTCTACCTGTATTAACACAAGTCGAATCTAAAACATCTACTCTCCTAATTGGATCATCAGATGGTCGACGTTTAATGTGACCAAACCATCTAAGATGACTTTCTCTAATTTTATCCGTCACAGGAGCTACACGAACCCTATCACTGATATATTCATTTTGTATTTTGTTTCTAAGTGTAAATCCACTCATCCACCTAATCGTTCTCATCTCGAAAACACTTAACTTAATATTATGCTTCTTTTTTAAAGGCCAACATTCAATGCTGTAAAGCATTGCAGATCTCACCACCGTCTTATAAAATTTTCCTTTCAAACTAAGCGGTACTTTTCTATCACACAAAAGGCCCAAAACATTCCTCCACTTAGTCACACTGCTGTCACTAGAGCTGCTGCTGCTAAAATTACATTCCATGTATTCAGTATTAGTTCTACTTAAATGAAGGCCTTTAGACTCCAATGTAGACCTCCATAATTCAAGTTTTCCTGGGTTTTTTCTCTAATTTTATCCATGATAAGGATATCATCAGCAAAAAGCATACACCAAGGTACATCCTCTTGTAGATGTCCAATAAGACCGTCCATAACTAAAGTAAAAAAATATGGGCTTAAAGCTGATCCCTGATGTAATCCAATACAAATATCCAACATAAATAAGAAAATATTTGGTCAATCCTCCTTCAATTCGAACACAAGTAACAACTCTAATATACATATCTTTAATGACTTGAATATAAGTCATATTAACACCTTTCTTCTCAAGAACTCTCCAAAAGATATCTCTTGGAATCTTATCGTAAGCTTTTTTAAAATCAATAGAAATCAAATGTGGATTCTCTTTATTATCTCTGAATTTCTTCATCAAACCTTTTAATAAATGTATAGCTTCCATAGTAAATCTTATCGTAAGCTTTTTCTAAATCAATAAAAATCAAATGTAGATTCTCTTTATTATCTCTGGACTTCTCCATCAAACCTTTTAATAAATGTATAACTTCCATAGTAACGACATAAATCCAAACTGATTACGAGAAATATTTGTATCATGTCCTAACCTATGTTCAATTACTATCTCCCACAATTTTACAGCACGACACATTAACTTAATTCCTCTATAATTTGCACACAATTGTGCATCCCCTTCATTCTTAAAAATGGGACCAAAATACTCTTTCCTCCCTCCTTAAGCATCATTTTTTTTAATTTTTAAAATAATATTAACGAGTTTAGTAAACCAAGAAACTCCCAAATCTCCTAATAATTTCCACACTTCAATTGGGATATCATTAGGTCCTACATTCTCATAGTTAAATTGAAATTATTATCAGTACTACTTAATACAGACTCATAGTCACATGTTCGGTCATAAATTCTATTCTTATTCTTAAATTTAGTATGTGTGCCAAACATTGATTTCTGCCAGAATTAGGGTTATTTTTTGAACCATTCCATTTTCACGCAATGGTAAAATTAGTAGATTTGTTACAGCCACGGTCACATAAAACAAGTAGGAGAATAATTTAAGTTCAGGGTTTGTAATTTTGCTTTAGCAAACAAAGGGAAAGCCAAACCCAAACAGTTGTGATAAGGCTACTGATGGTGATAATAAAGACTCTTACAATTATTAAAAAAAACAAAGATGAAGAGTATTAACCCAAAAGGTAATCATCACAATTATAGCATTATCAGAAATCCTATGCAAGTCAAAAAGAGATTGGAAGCAAAGTCGAACTTATAAAAATCAAACCGAATAGTTGAATGGCAAGCCAGCTGAAAGAGGTTGAGGCATACAAGAAGTGGCATAATCAAAATTTAAGGAGATGGAGTGCCTATTAAAAAAAGGGGAACTTCCTATATAGCATTCAAATGTTTTATATTTATAAAACTAGCACCCTCATACCTCTATTCACCAAAATCATAGATAAATTTAAAAATTAGCAGCAAAACTACTTTCATCCATAACATTTAGTAAAATTTGAAATGATTTGGTTCAATGTATATAAATACATCAAATTACTAGATCAAATTTTTTGTTCTGGGAGTTGAATACGTAATTAAATGGGTTTGGGTGGCATGAGAGTAAATGTCCCATAAAAAACTAAAATGCAACAAATTATAGGAGGGAAGGGATGTTTTTGTATGATATATAGCAAAAGGGGGTTTACTACAAACCTAAGCTAAGGGAGAGAAAGGAAGATTTTAAGGAGACATAATATAATTTAGGGTTTCTAATGCGATGTCATTTGAAGCTCATAACTGAAAGAGCAAAAAGATAATAGCCATCAAATAGAGAGGCAAGTCAAGATATTCATCTACAATACTAAATCCAGAACAGAAAATCAACAGTCACAGACTGTAAACAAAAGTAGTTAAGGATAAAGGAAAGGTCATTAAGAAAAGGCTGTGGAGAAATGCGAGGCCAGTTATAGCAGGATCAAGGCTTGAAGGCTGTCTAAGCATGTGATCCATGAACTAAATTGGAAGGCAATTAGAGGCCACAACAAAAAATAAAACAAAATAAAATTCAACACAAGAAACTAACCAAGCAAAGGAAAAATGTCATGGAATACTTGTGTTCCGCAACAAGGGGTGTAGGGGGCAAAAATCCCCGAAAGAATGAGGGAGAGAAAAGTCAATGAAGGGAGACAGCAGGGTGGAAAAATGGATGGTAATTGAGAAGGTACAAGTTATTGGAGGAATAAAGCTTGATGGGCAAAATACAGCCGTAAGGTGGCAATGTAAATGGCTGCTTGGGGCAAAATAAAGTACGACAGCACATAAACTAAAATGGCATGGGTATTATGCACAAGATAAACAAGTTCTTTTCGATGGTAATCATGTATAAGATTCAATATATTTGGACTAAATTTGACTTGCAACCTAATATCAAAATTTTGTTGTCTATTTGTTCCCTCCTGTAACCTTATGGGGAGAAAATATGGAGTTTCACAGTGGCATGATGAATAAAGGTAACCAAAGTGGCATTTTCATCCAGAAAAAAAAAAGGATGTAAGATTATAAAGTGAAAAGTGATGCAGACACATATTGCACAAAGTGAATAATCACAGACATTTAGCTTTCTCCCGGCAATGGGAATTAGGATTTATATAAAAGATTTTAGTGAAAATTTAATATTAGTTGTCAACTAATCTTCAAACGTTTATTCCTACATATTAAAAAAAAAAGCGTTAAAAAAATAGGTTTAACTTTATCATCAAATTTCTTAAATATAAACTTAAATAAATCTTAGATTAGTATAAGTCAATGTAGTAGCCTTTTAGGCCAATGGCAGATAGTTTTTCGTTAATTTGTTCAAACCAATTCTATCTTGATTCCAGTCCCTTTTAAACACAATCACTTATTCATTTGAGTTTGGATCAAGAAAAATTGTTTGTTTCAAGTTTTAAGCGGACAAAAGTATCTAACCTATTTCTGAAAAGAAAAGAAACTTCGATGTTAATCACCATCAATAACACTATCAAAACGAATTACTTCGTTCCAACTAATACAAGAACTTGTTACGGAGTCAACGATTGTTGCTAAATAGCAATATTTAAACCAAAATGCTAGGGCATAATATTATATCACAGTTTCTAGGGAACTAAACTGTGAAGCACAACGTGAAACAAACAAGAACGAACTAGCAAACATTGTGTCATTGATCAACTGAGAGAAAGCACTCAAATTGTTTCATAAGCTATTTGACGTTTTAGGTTTAGTCTCATATGACAGTTGAAGAACGCATTAGTATAGAAATAACAAGTGTCTCACCCTCACCAAAGATTTATACTTCTGAGATGAAAATGGGTTAATCAGATCCAAGTTTTGTCCTTTTGGTTTCATCATCTCTAACAATGCCACATCATGTTCGATGAGCACAATAGAAATCTTTCTGCAACAGCCTATCACCGGCCCATTTATCCTCTATCAACACAAAATTGGGGCCATCAAAACTAGTTGCAAGAGAAGTTTCACACCTAAAACCAAATGCCAGAAGATGACATTATTCGAGTATGAGTAATGCATTTGGCCAACAAGAATAAAAGATAAACAAGATTCTGTAATTAAACTATAATAAATGATAAGCAAGAATTTGTAGATAAACAATATATTTGCACAGATTTTCCTATTTGATATCAAATTGATTGAGAAAAAAAAGTTTCACAGATAATCTTACGCGGTTGTTTCTTGCCCTCCACCTTGTGTCCCGGTGCTCACAAAGAACCCAGCCGGTTTCCCTGCCAGCTTCTGTTCCTTCCACAACTGACCTGTACTATCAAAAAACGCCTTCATTTGAGCAGCCATGCTTCCAAACCTCGTGGGAAACCCAAACAAAATCCCGTCAGCCTCAGTGAGCTCTGCCGCAGTAATGAATGGAATTTCCTCATTCTTAGGGGGCGCCTGCATCATCTCAAGAACTTCAAGTGGAAGCGTTTCAGGCACACGGTACAAGAATCCCTCAACGCCATCGATTCCATCCACCCCCTTCTTTATCCTTCTCGCCAAGCTCTCCACATGCCCATACATGGAGTAGAACACGATAAATATCTTCAACTTGACCTCCGCCGGATGTGGAAGTGCACTGTTTGCCGTCTCAATTTCAACGTCCCTCTCCTCTATAGCAACTGGTGCATTCTTTGCATCACTCGAAGAGTTCTCCGCTCGCACCGCCGGCGGCCGTCTCTTGCTAGGCACGCAACCCGCTCCTTTCCCCATATCTTCTTCTCAAACAGATTGTAGTCGGAACCCCAGTATCCTATCAAATCTGGAAGAAGACAAATCAAAATGCTCAATTTCTTGAAATTTGGAGCAATGATGACTTCGTAGGACAGGTCTATCAAACCGAGAATTGTGATAAACTTACTGAAATCGGACAAACAAACTATGCCAATTTGGAGCAATTTCCTCCTAAATGGGGGCTAGGGTTTTTGGCTCTCTCGAGCTAATTAAGAGAATGCCGTCTTCACCAAGCCCTGCATCGAATTGGTTTTGTTTCTCTCGCAATTCGCATGGGAATTCAAAGGGAACAAGGCTTGGGGGGACAGTTTCAGTTTTGCCGTGGCCGCTTAGTCAGAATTCCAGGTGGCATCCGTTGAATAGTGACTGCAATCAAACTGCAAAAGGAAAAAAAAAGATGGAAGATTGACTAAGTATCAAGTGATTGTTATGGGTTAAAGTTTTAAATGAATGAAATAGGATGCATGATTTATAAGGGGAAAAAATTGGATGGATAATCAATTCAAAAATTCATTAATTTTAATATTATATTTATTTTAAAAATATCACTAATAGATAGAAATTTTTTTTCATGAATCGAATCAAAAACAACATAAGAAAACAAATTCAAAATTTGCGGCATCTAAAACTAGAGTAATTCATACTGAAATATATTAATTAATAAATAAATATTTTTTTATATTTTAAATGTCGAAAACACTCTCTGAGGATCCAAATATGTCATGTGGTTCACACTGAATATATAGAGTGTTGGACGAATGAGAGAAATAGATAGAAAAAGATATTCAGAGAGGAAATAAAGTTATTTATTTAGAAATGACCCCATTTTGATAGGTTTTTGAAGTTTCTCGTATGATTAAATATTTTTCTTTGCTTAAAAGGAATGTGACAAGTCATTTTTTCACCTTTTCACATTTATAATGACTCCAAGTCATTTTCATATTCAAAACTGACATTGAAATCGTTTTCTATGCATAATTGCTTAAAGAAGAGTATTTAATGACCTGTCACTCCTATCAATCAGTCAGCTAAAGGCCTTTGGTCGGCCAACATTCATTCGGACGACTGAAAGTTCATCGATCAATTGTCTTAATGGAATTATGAGTAGAGGTCCTTTTGTCGTTAGGGTGAGCTTAGGCAGTCCGACAGATGGTGTATCACTGTAATTTGGTGGGCACAACTCCTTTGATGATGAGCCTTCTCATAGAAGCCATAAGGTGTTCCGCGGGGTACCTTGTGGCCATCATTGTGAGACATTTCAAAATCAACTGAGGAAGTTGGTCATGAATGATTGCCCCTCAAATTAGGTATCTTCTATCTATTTGTTCGGATGTACTTTTGTTCAATTGGCTGAAAGTGTCGATCGAAGGAAACAATACTTGGTTTTCAAGTCTTTTGACTATCCTGATATAGTTCTTTGGTGTTCATAACGAGACCCGTTGAATTTCCTCTTCATTTGTACGTTCATATTTTTATGTGCATATTTAGTTATTCGATTCTTTTATTTCTTCAAAGCCACAACTGCTATAAGAATAAGAGAATTAGTTGTAAGAAATTGACATAATTATTGTATATTAAGTATATTTAATAAATAAAATTCTTGGATTTTCATGTCCGCATTCTCTATAAATAGGGTGTGATCAGCACTTTTCTGTAACTCTTTTGGAATTTTCTTCCATTCAGTTGATTTGTTCAAACCTGGGTGATATGGTGAGTAGCAAGAAGCCTTTTGTAAATGAGACGACCATAGTGAAGGCCTTCGAACTTTTGACCAAAAAATGTCACCCTCCTAAGAACACAGTGAAGAAAAAGAAACCGAGAGTAGTAAGCCCATAATAAAGAAGAAGTCAGAGGACGTGGGCCGACCTGTAACAGCAAAAATGTTGGAGGAAGAAGGACGACCTGTCAGCTCAAAGAGGCTAGAAAGAGAGAGCGAAACAAAGGGAAAGAAGAAGGTTAAGCAAGTGATCGATAAGGAACAAAAGGGGAGAAAGTGACCGAGTCATCTAACTCGATGCTGCTCCATCTTGAGTTGGAGAGCAAGGCTGATGTGCATGACATTGGTGTGATGATCCTCACCCTGAGTCTGATCCGTCAGCAGCAGGCTCAGTAACCAGTTTAGGCGCTCATAGAGACCTAAGTCCAATCATGTGATGTAGAGGCTCCCTTTCCTTCAGTCGATGAGACCAGCCAAGCTCTTGTCCAACCGCTTGTCGGTGATAGTCTCCATTTGTCTGAGATAGAGCAAATTATCGGTACAAGAAAATCCAATTTTCTTTGACTAAGTATGTTTGTTTTTTTTTTACATTTGAATATTCCTGTAAAGGAGACCGTGTAGATTATCGACTCACTAATAGTGGGAGTGTGCCATCCCTCTGCTCCAAAGGCGACCAAGGGACCGTTTGTTATAGTCTATGATGGCGATGCACCAAGCCATTAGCCTAGCCCTGAAGACATTGAAAGGGAGATCGACAGTCACCGAGGATCACAGGTGTCACTGACTTGCCGGATGGACAAAATGGTGAACTCCTAGTGGACATGACGATTCTCTATATGGAGGTGATGACTCTTCAAATGAAGTTGGCAGAGGTCAGGGCGATTGGTTCGATCTCTTGAGTTCGAGTTGAGGAAGAGCGCGTTGAGAAGTTTAAATTTGGAGGGCAAGCATTGTACCGGGGTCTAGTGAGTTGGAGTCTTGTATTGCCTAAGGCGACTGAAGACCACAGTGTAAAATATTTTCTTTCATAAATAAAATTTTAATTTTATGAATTTTCAAAATTTTATGTCATTTCCTTTTATTGAAGTTCATGCTGATTTGATGTAAATTATTGGAGACAGAATTATGGATCTATGGCTTTTCTAATTCCTTAGATGCCATATATATAAGGGTCAAAGGAAAAATGTCGTTTACACTTTTCAAGTTTCCTTTTCCTTTTCTTCAGTTCTTTTCCTATCTCTCCTTTGGGTTATTTATTTTCTAGCATTCACATGGCTCTAAGTATTCTCCAAAATGTTTCAATTTGGTGTCAACGACCAAAAGTTCTGCACTTACATTGTTTGACATGGAGCTTTTTGAGGACACTTCTGTACACAGCACAAGCGTAATGCTCAAGTTGGTGGGGCCAGACGTAAGGGTTACTGATCATTATGGTGAAATTCTTATCTTCTTCCTGGCTCAATTTCTGCGAGGGTTTCGACAGTCTGTCATGAGATCCGATTGATTCTCAATTATTATGGAGTCAACCCCACACAAATAAAGTCAAATTCAATCTCAGTCATGATGAACTTCATTATCTACTTGTAGATGTTGAAGATCTCTTGGTGCCATAACCTATTCTCTTACATAATCTCTTTCATAGAGGAAATCGACGACTATGTTATCTTTGGGTCAGCCCGAAAGTTCCATCTGATCGATCTGGAGAATAAAATCAAGTATTAGAAGTTCTGGTTCCTCTGGGGTATCTGCAAGGACTGGGGGATCCCTGCACGACCAATTAGAGAGCCATATGAGAAAAAAGAAGGGAGTCTTGTAGTGAGTTTTAGGGAAGGCATTGACTGTCGGGGTCAAGCAGTTGTCAAGTGAACATTGAACCCCGTGCATTTTGGTCCCATGATCTTTGAGTTGTGGGTTGCTTCAGATAAGATAGAGAAGAAGTGGCAAATTGAAAAGATAATGTGGATGTCACAAGAGGAGCTGAGGAAAAAGGATTGGTATTTCTTGTACATTCAAAGGGAAGAAGTCGAGGAAGAGGATGACTAGGAGATTGGGATCATCCCAAGTTTGGAAATAACTCATTTTGTTTCTGAAGGAGTAATTGTCATTCAAAACTACCATCAGTGAATTAATCCTAATTGAGCAAAAACCACCTTTAATGAACTTAAGGACTTTAAGGGATCAATGCCAAGAGGAGTAGCACCCAATGTCATTAGATTTGATGTTGAGAAGTCATCAAAGTTACCATTGACCCAGAAAGCTCCCTGACCAACTTTCTTAGGTTTTATTCATATTTATGAAAGAGAGGTGGCCAACCGATTTTCTTCACGATGTTCAGTTACACTAGTAGAACAAGAGGAAGTGGAGAACTTGGAGGAAAGCCCATATGGAGAAGAGAAGCTTGATTCAGAGTATTGTAGTGTGTGAGTTGGATGTTTCTGAAGATGAACAATGTTGTGGGAAGCACAAGGATCTGACCAAAGATTCTAACTCCTTCTTCCTCTTACCTCATAAGAAGAAACATAAGAGAGGTAAGACTTAGCGGAATCTGCTGCAGAAGAAGCAGCTAAAGGTATTCCTCAGCTCAAACTCCAACTATGCCCCGATAGACGTGCAAAGGGACTAGTTCTCACAAGCACCAGGGATGGATAAGTATGCCTTGAACATAACATTACCAAGTTCATCCTACCCATTCTTGCCATTCTTGCCTACTCAAATCGATCAAGCCATTCTTGTCGACCCAAAGACCATTAAAGGCTGACTGACAAACCTGATTAAACACAACCAAATAAACAGGTCTTACTAAATCAAGGCTCTCCAAGTTCATCCTACAAAGTCAGAAGGTCGCTGAAACAGAAGCCCTTGCATGAAACATATCTAAATATCATGTAACACTCTCATCAAAGCATAGGAAAATATGTATATTCATATATTGTACCCATTCTCTATAAATAGAGGGATAATTTTATGAGAAAGAGCAAATTTATAAGACAAGTTACTTTCCATTATTGTGAACTTCTACCTTTCTTTCTCACTCTATTATCTTATGCTTTAACTCTTGAGGTGTGACTAATGAGTAGGCCATGATTCAACATCCTCAATGGTGCAGTGAACATGGATCATTTCACTAACAAGAAGAGAACCAGCACATGAAGAAAATAAAAATAGAGACATTGCTAATATGGAGCATACTAGGGAGTTTATGTAATAGTAAATCTAGGACCTGAAGGATCATATGATGGATGCGCTCTGAGAGGCATTAGCTCAGGGAAGGGAGCAGAATCTTTGAGGGATGGAGTTGCACCAAACAACTGAAGGGAACTCTTGCTTATGTGAATGGAAGGAGATTCTTAGTACTTTGATAGTGTTGGGTTAGCACCGATGGATAAACAACAGATCAAGCAAACTGAGGTGCTCTGTCAATGAGAGAATACGTTCTCTCAGTAGATATTTGAGGTCAAGCCACCATAGAAATTTAAAATCTTTGTACTTAAATCAAACTATGGTCGAACATGTCCCATTGACAAAATAACATCCTTTGAATCAACCATATGCTTGATGAAGATTACATATGTGCTAAGGTGCCACATTTTTTTCATGACACGGAGGGAGAAAGGCTCAAGTGGTTAAACGGTTTTCCACCATAGGTGATTACATAA